ACACCCTGTATATATATATGTATTTGGTTCACCTTGTTATTTTTATACTTTCCTAGAAATCCGAGTATTTTTGAATAACGACCAATTGTTCTTTTATATATATATATCCAAAAAAATAAAACGTCGCGTTGCCGTGCCAATTACTTTCATATTCCGTCATTTATTTTCAGTTTTGTAATATAAATTATTTATTTGTCTTTCGTTCTTTCATAGATAAGAGAAATTATTTTCGGCAGTTAGTCAATTTATCCGTTAATTATCTAAAATAAAATAGAAAACGTCACCGTTTCCGTGTCAATTATTTTTTACACTTCAACCTTTTTTCGTATCATTTTTTAATACAAATTATAATATTACACAAATATATAAATATATATATTCCGTTATATATATTTTTCATACCGAACAACCTAAATGTTATTACCACCGAGACAAATTTATTTTATTATCGATAAAATATGAATAAAACAAAATAAAAAATAAAAACAAAAAAAACAACGAACCGATAATAATAATTTAACAAAATTATAAATCATAATTAATTTTGTAACAAATAATTCTTCGATAAAATCCTATCCCCATTTTTGACCGAGCATATTTTTTTTTTTTTTTATCGTAATAACGAAAATATAATCGTACGATAATAAATGAAATATTATTTTTTCCAATGCTAAAATAAAAAAAGGAAAATAATATCCTATCCCCTTCCACTCCCGTCCCCGCCCCGCCCCCACGCCCATTCTCCTCATATTTTCGTTCGTTATGCGAGTTAGCTATTCTCGAGTGGTTCGACTAATCGTCGGTAAATCGTCAAACATAGGTCAAACAATTTAGAAGGGTTCGTTCAAAGATTGGATCAAGTTTGCTGGAAACGGTAAAGACGAAATCGAAGTTAATTGGCAATTTTCTCTTGCACCAGGCCTCTATCTTTCTCTCTCTCTCTCTCTCTCTCTCTCTCTCTTTCATACACATCTACACACACACACACACACTCCTCCTTATCCAAGCTTTCCACCTCTCTTGTGGAATTTATCCTTCGAACGTCAACAATTTTCCCTTTTCCCTCATTCTCTTCTTCAACCAACCTTCCCACTCTCGTTTCCTCTGACAAGAAGAAGAGAATGGGAAAGGAACAACGTCGTTTGTTTAGAATGACATTTAACAAGGTTAATAGACCCATTTTATCGAAGATAATATTCATACCTAAGCTACTGTTCGATTAAGGGGTTACGTGGGGTTTACACCGGGAAAAAATAGCATATTTTCAACAATTTTTTTTTCTATATAAAAAATGGAATTCTTATACAAACTTTTTATAGTATTTAAGATACATATTTAAAGAACGTTTTCTGAATTTTTGGTTGAAAAATATTTTAAACTCAGCCATTGCGACGTCATTTCCGGTGACCCCACCGAAAAAAAGTGTTTTCGCGTTGACAGCAGAACTTATAAACGATGGAGGTTTTTTTGTTGAAAAAATAAGGTCTTTTAGTGAATACTTAAAACTAGAAACTGGACGAAGGAAAAAGAAAAAAATTGAAATTTGGATTTTTGACAACGTTTTTAGCAAGAACATTCTAATTTCGCTACAATTTGCCCCACATTTTGGTTTCTTAAAATTCGATTTTATGAAAAAAAACGAAATTCCTTCGTCCAAGTCCTTGTCATTAGTATCACGAAGACGTGTAGCAAATTTCATGAAAATTGGTTAATTAGTTTTCGAGAAATCTTGACAACCGACTTTAGAAAAAGCGTTTTGAGAAAATCGCGTTTAAAGATTTGAGTGCTGGTATAAGAGCCATTAAAGAGTGCAACTTCCCAGGGCTCTATCTTTAAAACTATTACTCCTATCGACTTCAAAATTAAATACAATATTCTAGATGAGTTGTAGAATTGAAAAAAAAAAAATAAAAAAAAAAATTTTGTTGAAAGTCCCAAAACCATGTAACCCCTTAATAAAAAAAAATGATTAATATTTCAAATTTAAATTAATTAACATTTGTGGAATAAAGGTAAAAAGTGTGTGTGTGTGTTTTTTTTGTTTAATCGAAATTCTGTCTAATTGAAATCTCAAAAATTTAATCGTCAACTACAGTTAACGAAAGAATACGAAAACATACATACATACATACATACATTACATACATATATACACATAAACAGAAAACAATAAACGAAGGATATGGGAGTATTTTTTTCGAACGAACAAACTTAATCCAATAGCCAGACGGGATCGATAAACAACAAAACCGACGAATTCGTTACATTGAAATATTCATATGCCTGAATCCAGTGGAAAATCTAGAAAATGCTCGATTGGAATTGACACTCGGACGATTGAAATTGTTATTTTTACCAGGTCGAGTAAATGCCTGAAAAAAACCAAACCCAACCCACCCAAAACACCCAACACCCAACCCCCACCTTTTGTGATTCCACTCCCATGCCAAAAAAGAAAACAAAGAAATAGGAAAAAAAAGTTAAGGGGCAAGGGGTTGTTGAAGGATAAAAGAAAAATGTTGACCCCCCTCCCCAAGGGGAATTTGAAGTCGGTTGAAAACAGACTAATCTTCAAAAAGACAAAAATCTTGTTTAATCCTCCGATTAGTATATCAAAGATTTAAATATAAATGAATTTTGAGAGAATGGTTCTTGTATTTTCTTTCTTTTTTTTTTTGTCGAAATAAACGAAAGGAATACTCGTGTCGTTTGTACAAGGTGAGGGGGTGAGTGGGAAGGGGAAAATGGGATGAAAGGGTGTACCACTACTGGCTTATCAAAAATTCTATTCCGTTGAAAACGGAGTGATCCTCTCGACGTCAGGTTCCGGGTTAAAGGAAAACAGAAAAAAGAAAGGGGAAAAAAAGAAAACACATGGGGGATACGGGAGGGGGTTGGTGAGGACGGGGAACAGAAAAGAAAAAATGAATTTGTCGTTTTAAATGGCCGATAAAATCTTAACCTCAATTTATACGAATCTGATATGTCCATTGTTCGTCTTATTTCATCTGTTAAAAATTACAAAAAGAAAAAGAAGAAATAAAACAAGTGAAGTAGAAAAAGAAAATGGAGGCTGATGCGAATCCAAACACGTTTATATACATTTATTATATATGCTTATGTACAAGGAAAACGATCGCAGTGTTATAAATGTGTTTACGATATATACACAATGAGAGAATGATTTTTATTGCCGCTAGAGAGCGCGTCGATTCGTTTGATCTGATTTTTTAAATATGAATAAACCTAACCTCTAATTTAGGAAAAGAAAATTAGATAAATAAGTCGACGAAGTAAATAAAAAAATTAGAAACTAAAGAAAATGTGGAATAATTGGTTATGATATCGCAGAGTTAAGAAAAAACAATAACAATAGCATTAAAAAAATATGTCGATAAATCATCCTGTATATTTGTAAAAAAAATTGTTTAATAGAATCAATTTATCTATAACTCACAATTTGTATAAAAATGGAATAATACTGAATGTAAAATGTAATTTCCAGTTACTTTTAAACAATAAACCACAAAATCAACAATATAAAATAACCTGTTGAGCTGTAAGAAAATTAAAATCCTAATTCTTTAATTAATTCTTAATTAAATTAAGGCTTGTTGATTAAAACAAAAATATCTAAAAACAGAACTATTTATTTCATTTATTTATTTATAAAATCACACGTATTTAAATCTGAACTTGTGAACACTAGCGCCGCCCTCGTGGAAAATTATCGTACTCGGTATTTAATTATTTTCAACAACACAAACTCGTATCTCGATCATCCTTCTTGTATACCAATAAAATTATTATAAATAAATAAATAAAATATATAATATTAATAAAATAATAAAAAATATATATGTGAAAAAATTATTTATTAATGAATTAATATTTACTACTATTTTTATTTTTAACAAATTAATTAGAATTTCGAAAAGCAAACAAAATTTTATTCGAAAAAACTAAAAGGAGAGAGGGAAGGAGGGTGTCTGCTAGTATATTTAAATATATGTATGTGTGTGTGTGTGTGTGTATAAGAACAATAAAGTAAAGTAGAAAAATAACTGGACGCGTTGTTATCGATATCAGAAAAGTACGATTAGTTTTTAAGTACGGAAACAAACGGGGACAAATTTCGTTTTCCCCTTTTTTTTTTTTTTTTTTTCTTTTTTTCTTTTGTTTCTTTTAGACGCTTTTATCGATTATATAATCGATATTTCCGACAGGCAGGATGATACATTGACTTCGACGATTTAGCAGCGGCGTTGGATCCGATAGGAAACGGCAATATATCATTCCAATTTCAATTACAACATAACATTCGTCATAAACGCTTGTCCTTCTGTTCCTTTCTCTCTTTCTATTTGTATTTCTATTTCTCTCTCTCTCTCTCTCTCATTTTATATATTACTTTATATATTATTATTGTTTTTATTTATTACTTATATTTGAAATTAATTTGATATAACATATTTGATTATATTAATTATTATTTATGTGTTATTTGATAAATAAACCAACCTGCAATGAGAACGAATTCCATTGTAAAGGGGAAGAAAAGGGTGGTGCGGGGGGGGGGGAGGGGGACCCATTTAAAACTTTTATGAAATCCCTTGATAAATATTCAAACGGTAACTTTACACATTCCTTTGAAAAATTTTATTCGAGATTGTAAATATTGTATTATTGTGATATTTTTTGAAAGAAAATTTGTTGCAATTTATTATCAAATAAAATAGTGTATTATAATAAATAATAAAATTAGTAATAAAAAATATTCATTCGAGTGATATATTAAATATAATATTATTTAACAGGGGTAAGGGAGGAAAAATTTTTTTCACGATAATTAGATCGATTAGATGATAAAACGATAATACGAGATAATCTCGCGTGTACATAACTAATTTGGCCGTACGTTAATAATAATAACATTGACTTTTTTATTTGAATTTTCTTTTCTTTTTCATACTAATCGATCGTGTTCTTTTTTGTTACAGGGACTACTACTACGACAGGTGAGTGTACTTCGTCGATTATCCTTGAAACCAGGGGGGAAAAATGCGTGACTCGGTACAGTATAAACAAATAAATTACATTTTTATCGTAACCACCAACCCCCACCCCCACCTCCAGCCCCCCTCCTACGTAATGCAAAACAAACATAAAAATATATCATAAAAAAAGTACGAATGAAAACGTAACATTTTTCTTTATTGTCTTAATAATGTATACTTAAAAAAACAATGAAAAAAATTCAATACAAAATGAGAGAAAAAAAAGGTTGTTTAAATAATTATCATAATTACATATGGGTTATACGTAAATATATCATTGAAAGTAAATTTGATTAATTTAGAAAATATTCTTATCTTAAAATTATTCAAATATTACTCACTCACTCACTCTCTCTCTCTCTCTCTAACACATAAACTTTCTCATGAATTGCTATACAACCCCATAGAAAAGATTATCAAAGAGACAACGTGCTCGTTTACGAAACATGTTCCTGATTAAAAGTATTGTCGTTTGATAAAGCAACTTTTCAGATGGTTTTCTCTATACAATCCTGTACTCCCCACCATCACTCACTCACCCCCTCCCCCACTACTCCATTCCAACTTCCTATCCCGTTTGTATAGAATACGGGAAATGGATTGAATATAAACATCGGACTCACCAACAGAGTTCTATGACTTTTGAAAAGGGAAACGAGAATCCTGTATTTACGTGACCATAGATAATAATTATTAACTCAACTTACTCGAGTCTCTGGGTTTCTGTTTCTTCATCCTATCACGAAATAGAAAACGTTTCAACCTCTCTCTCTCTCTCTCTCTCTTTACATATATATATATTATTTTTTCTCTCTCTATTTGTTGGAGTATACGCGTACAGAATTTTAAAATAAATTAACACGCATGTGCAGCAGCCCGAGAACCGAGAAAAGAGGACAGAAAATCAAGAGAGAGTGAGAGAGAGAGAAAAGTGGCGAGTAGAACACCATAAACACACACCGAGAGACTTTCTTTTGCTTTAATTGTCACAATTCAGAGACGGTTCGTGACCAGCCTAAAAAAAAGCCCCCCCCCTCCATTCGGATATATTCCGTAGAAAACGAAAGAGTGAAAGCATGGGGTAGTAGTACAGGCGGTGGCACCGGCAGCAACCCCTTTACCAAATAAAAATCATAAACTCGGAGAACCCGTTGCTCGTAGCAGAGGAACGAATGAACGAATGAACGAACGAATGAACAAACGAACGACGAATCCTCGGCTTTGACTTGGAAACGTGTTGAATTAAAACTGCGAAATATTAACGCACGCTCAGGTTTGGGCTTTTTTTTTTCGAAAGAAAAAAAAAAAAATGGTCAACGATAAAATGTCTGACGTGTTACTCCTCTTCCTTCCTTCCTTTCTTACCCCAACCCCACCCCCACTCACCCCTACAAACCCCTTTTTGTAATTTTCACGAGTCAAGCACGTTCGTATTAGTTTTTTTATTCAAATTTCTTTTCCACGAGTCTCACTGATTATTGTTTATGTTTGATTCTAAGGAAATATCACGCGTCAGGCTCGTGTTTATTTGTTTTACTTTAACACGAGTCTCACTCGTTGTTGTTGGTTGTAAACGGGGATTAAAGAAAAATTGAATATGTTTGATATTAATTCTGTTAAGTGTAGTATCAGTTTACGGGTACGTTGACAAATCAACACGTATGCGTTTATAACTAATGAAATAATAATAATAATGATATAATGAATTATCTTGGAATATATAAATTGAAAATGAAATATCACGAATCGTAAATGGGTGAATTGTTACATGAGCTCTTTGAAACTTACAAATGTGTTATTATAATAATATGTATAGCTTTGAAGTTGTTTTTTTATAATATACGAAATAAACGGAGGTTTATTATCGTAAAATAAAAATAATATTAACAATACGAAACCGGTATGTATGTAGTATGCATAAAAGGGAAAAACTGTATAAGCGCGGTGTTAATTTGATTGCATTTAACAATAATCGACTTAATGGAAAGTTCTTAATTTCATTGGTTAAAGTGTTGTGCTTCTGTGCGAATGGAAAAATTCATTAGAAGAAAAAACAAAGAAGAAAAAGAAATAAAAAAAAAAAAGGCAAAAATGTGTAGCTATCTTTTAAATTTATAATATATATATATATATATGTATTAATATATGTG